CCATATATAGAAAATTGTGGGGGCCATCCTATAATGAAGTACTTACAATAAGGGAGAAACAAAACTAGGTTCCTAGGGGGAGGGATGAAGTTCAAATGCTTGCCCTCTTTGTAAGAGAGTAGAACAGAATATACAGAAGAACATAAAGTAGAAAAGAACCAGTATGTGCTTGTTTGGGGTTCACACCCATAATGTGCAGGGTCTTCTCAGCTGTGTCCTTGGCTTCTATATATCCCACCACAGTCATTTTGAAAATCTGGACCCCTACCTCTTATTTGGGGACATGGGTGGCACTGTGGGTTAAACCGCACAGCCGAGGGCTTGCCGATCAGAAGGTTGGCAGTTCGAATCCCCACGACGGGGTGAGCTCCCATTGCTCGGTCCCTGCTCCTGCCAACCTAGCAGTTTGAAAGCACACAGTACAAGTAGATAAATAGGTACCGCTCCGGCAGGAAAGTAAACGGCATTTTCGTGCGCTGCTCTGGTTCACCAGAAGTGGCTTAGTCATGCTGGCCACATGACCCGGAAGCTGTACGCCGGCTCCCTCGGCCAGTAAAGCAAGATGAGCGCCCCAACCCCAGAGTCGTCCACAACTGGACCTAACGGTCAGGGGTCCCTTTACCTTTTACCCCTCATTTGAAAAAATAATAATAATAAGTTGGACATTACAGTGCACATTGTTATAGAAGTGGGGCAGCCAACCAAAATATTGGCTGTTATTTCTGAGAGAGGAGCTGAGGCATAAGGAAATTCATGTTGCTAGTCTCGGCCAATAAGTGGCTGGGATAATAGCTGCAGGTACAGCGATGTGTGAGAGCAGATGAGAGGGAATGTACAGGTGCAGTTTGTTAGTGATTGACTTGGCAATGTGTATCATGAGCCTCAAACTTAGACGGGAAAGGGTATTTTGAGATGCCATCTCACTGATTGCTTCCAGGGAATCTGTTAGCAAAGCTGTCTTGTCACATGTACTGCTAATGAAAAAGGTTTCTAAGGCTTGATGAAGGCTTTAGCCCCATAATCCCTAAACATACTTGGGTAAAATCATCTTGCAAAATTGGTGTCAATTGAGATAAAAGTAAAGGTAAAGGTACCCCTGCCCGTATGCGCCAGTCTTGACAGACTCTAGGGTTGTGCGCCCATCTCACTCAAGAGGCCAGGGGCCAGCGCTGTCCGCAGACACTTCCGGGTCACGTGGCCAGCGTGACATCGCTGCTCTGGCGAGCCAGAGCCGCACACGGAAACACCGTTTACCTTCCCGCTAGTAAGCGGTCCCTATTTATCTACTTGCACCCGAGGGTGCTTTCGAACTGCTAGGTTGGCAGGCGCTGGGACCGAACAACGGGAGCGCACCCCGCCGCAGAGATTCGAACCGCCGAGCTTTCGATCGGCAAGCCCTAGGCGCTGAGGCTTTTACCCACAGTGCCACCCGTCAATTGAGATATTGAGTACTAAATAGGTCTTAATAGAAGAAGTTAAAGTAATTGCAAGCTAAAAAACAGCCTTTGTCCCACCTTTTCATCTTGTTTTGTTCCAACTTGTTTTGAAAATTCTTCATGAGGCAAGATTATAATAAAATGAGAGCCATAAATATCCATTTTTTTCTTCAAATCTCCACATACTTCATATAACATACTGGAGGACTTTGTAATAATTGACTTCTGTTTTTAAATTTAAACTAATTGCAGAGGTTTCCTTGATTTAATATAAAGTTGTAGTATATAATATATATAAAGGGCTATGATAATTCACTTTAAAATATCTGACTATTTTAAAATATAACATTCAGATATCACTTTATGAGGCTCCTAACATCCACCCACCCTATTGCTATGGCAACAGTTAATTTGTATGTAAGTTATATAAGCAAGTACCATATTCTATGTAACAGTTAAAATTGGCATTTTATTTTTTAAATCTACACTGATAATAAGCAAGAAGGGTAGGAATAGGAACCTTAGTTTGTAGGTTAGTTACTATAGTCATCTTTTAAGATTAAGATACATAATATTCCTAACTTTGGTTAGACTTATAATGATTTCTAATGTTTAGAAGTAACAGCAGTGCACACTTGGAATGCCTGTAGTGGTACTTCTTTCAATGGTCTATTTTAAAGATAAAGTTTATGAAAGGTACCCGGCCACCGTTGAAACACAGTGTATTGGCTTTGTTGGAAGAACAGCTTCTCTCAAAATGTGCTTTGGGAAATCTAATTTAAGATATTTTCAGATACTGCTCTGAACCTTCGCATACATTAAGTCCTTCGGAATTCAGGGCTGCTATACCTGAAGATTTGAAATTGGATATTTGTGATTCGCATTCTATTTCAAAACAAGATGAGAAAAAAGGAGGTTATAATAGCTTGGACTTGAGGTTCATTTAGCTCTTGTTACATGCAGGCATTGCATTCAAGTCAACCTGGTTTCTTCTCATGGAGGAGGCTTACTGTACCTCTGGCATGTGTGAATTAGATACAGTGGTACCTCGGTTTACGAACTTAATCCGTTCCGGAAGTCTGTTCTTAAACCAAAGCCATTCTTAAAGCAAGGCATGCTTTCCCTAATGAGGCCTCCGCCGGTGCCCTTCCACCGTTCGGCTTCTGTTTGTTGACCGAGGTAAAGTTCGCTAACTGGAACACCTACTTCAGGTTTTGCAGAGTTCGTATACAGCATATTTAATTAACAGGGCTGTTGTAGACCGAGGTACCACTGCATCTGTTTTTAGGCATGTCAACTTAATTATCAGCTGAGAAATAGGGCATTTATCTGTAAAATGAGACAGAACACACTGGCAGCCACCTGAACCCATGGGACGTTTGAAATCCTGGTTCTCATCTTTTATGGGTCAGTGTGGCACCAATCTAAGCCAAATTAGGATGTGGAACTGATGCAAGAAATTTTTTTTATGTGTCTTACATCATTCTGAACTGAAATTTCTTAATGGATTTGTGTATATAATAGCTGTACAAAATGTAAATAGCTTGCGTTGTCTTTATTGGGAAGAGACTGATTTGGTTCTGTTTTTGGAGTTCAGTGCATCTTTAGAGGGCAACTTTGGAACCTCCATTTTCAGGAAGAAGTAAGTATTAGCAGATAAAAACCAGCTGATTAATTAGATTGAATCTGTTTTGTGTAAGAATGCCCTGTAGGTTTTGAAGTTCATATAAGAAGTGTATGATTTCAAGAGCTGTTTGAAGATTGGGATAGCAAAATATTGTTGAGAATCTGATACGATTCACAGAGGAAGTTGCTCCCAGTACCATTCACCACAAGGAAGGAGCTTGAGGTCCAAATAGTTTGCTGTTGCAGAAGATCAGTAAAACAGTTCTGGACATAGTTTTTAGGCTTTTGCAGATACAGCTACATACAAGTACAAAAAATCTCCCTTGCTCCAAATAAATTCAGCATTTCAAGATGTAACACCAAGCAAGGAACACCAACAGAGTGATGAGTCACAGACTAAGTCTGCTGAACTGATATGCATTAATCACCCCTTCTCATGTCCAGTTACTCTAACTGGGGTCGCTAAGATGGCGTGGCAGGGGGTGCTGGAGGTGTAAATGATTACCAGACTTCGAGAAGCTGGTATCGCTGTCATTAATTTTGTTGATTTAATTAAATTAAAGATTTTAAGTTAGACTTTGAACAAATGTGAAGTTGTTACAGTTTTGAATTTAATTGTGTTGTTAATCTTCCTTAGTAGGTCATACAAACCACTATTTTGAATAAAGCTTTTTATAGGGTGGGGTAGGAAGCACTGGGGATGAGTTTATTGGAACCAAGGGGAGCAGTGGCCAAAAAAGCTTGGGAACCATTTTCTAGGTGGTGGACTATTCATTTTGCATTGTTCCAGAAATGTACACCTACATTGTTAGCTGTAAATATTTTACTGACATCTGGGGACATGTGGGCATATTTAGAACATCTGGAACAGAATACAGTGGGCAACAACTCCTCTGGTTGCTACACCCCTCCCCAGACTAAGAGAGAGAGAGAGCACATTTGCACAGCTTTTCCATAGTGTCTGGATAAAAATCGTATCCAGTAGAATTAAAATGGATCTTCTTGCATTTGCTTGATTTTACATGAGTTTCCCACCCCAAACCACTACCCCTAGCAGTGATGGACTTTACAGTAAAAATCCCAGATGTAGTGCTTGTCAGTACCATAAAAACGTTGATTCAAGGCATGGGTGCCCATGGATTCTCTTAAATTTTACATAGGATAACAGCAAAACCACCAGCAAATTGCAGAATACATCTGTTTACACAAGTGACATAACATTTAATGGATAAGTGGCTTGGATCCATGTTTTTGCACTATGGCAACTCTGGAAAATAATGAATCTGTGATTTTTACGCTTCAGTCAATGGAGATAGATGTGATTTGTGATTTATTTACCAAATTGAGAACCCTTAAAATATTGAGAGGAATGTGCTGGTGTTCATCTTTGAAAAAAAATGCTTTGGGATATAGATTTTTGCCCACTTCAATCTCTCAGGCAGAAGAAGTACAGTAATTCTGTCACCAGCCTAGCCTTGATGCAGCTTTCTATAACTGAACATATTTCATTTTTTTATAAAACTAGTGGACTGCCTTTTTTATTTGCAAGCTGTTTGTTTTCTGTACCTTAGTCCTTATTAGAGATTTGCCTGTATTTATATTTGAAAAGAAGGAATTTTTATCATGTTGTCCATGTTGAGTTCAAATCTGAGAGTCCATGGCAATGAATAATTTTAACTGCCAGGAGAATCTGAGAAATATATTTTAAATGTTCATTCCTTACTTTGTCTGAGAATACTTGTTTGTAGAAAAGGTTGTTGGCGTTAAAAGGGTCATGTGACAGTAACACTTGGTATTTTTGTTTTTCTTTCCCCCTTTTGAGGTCAGGGGATATGTGTATAGATGCTATTATGGAAGCCAATGCCTACATTTTTAAATTTTAATTTTTTGTGTGTTTCTCTCTCCAACCCCCTTCCCAACCACCTTATGTTTCTGCAGCCATAGACCTTTTGTATGGGGGTATATACTGCTTTATGTGTCAAGATTACATATACGACAAAGATATGGAACAAATTGCCAAAGAAGAACAACGGAAGGCTTGGAAGCTACAAGGTTTGATTTTATTTAAGTATCTGCTGAAAGAATGCTCACTTTCATTCTTAGTTATACCTGGCCCCCCCACCCATCAAAAGGTAGAAATCAATAATAGGGAAATGGGGTACCAATGCAAGTTGCAGGAGCAACAAATGTAGAGATTATTTATCTTCAGAGGCTAGATTGCTTAACATGCACACCTCATAAAATTTCAGCCAACCTACACTTTTAAAATTTACTTTCAATGAAGTAACCCCTTGTGATTGTGCAAAGTTAAGATAGAATAAATCTACTTTTAAGCATAGCAGAAAAGAAATCTGTTCCCTTCCTACAAAGTGTCACCTCTTTCCCTGTGTGATTATCTCATAGAATGTGCCAGCTTTAGAAGCACACACTCTGTTTACACATATAGTATGTATATCTGTAACTATTTACACACAAGTATATGTACACACATTTGTTTTGTTATTCAGTTTGCTTTCCCTAATTTTTTCTTTTTTAGCCTTCACCCCAACAATGGTTTCTCACTACCAGTGTACAATGACAGGTAAGAAGTGTGACCTGGCGACGCATTTCACTAACAAGCGTCCCTTTGCTGATTATCTGCCATTTTAAGACAAGAATCATGGTTTACAATGCCGCCTTTTCATTTATAGATTGCTTTCTTGTTATAGAGAATGTGTATCAGGAGGTAAAGGGTGGTAAACTTTTGCATGAACTTTCTATGGTTGACCTACTCCAAAATAGGCCTTTCATTTTTTGAGAGGAAAGCAAAACTAAACATTGTTCTGGCCAAATTGAAGCATTTTAAAAAAATGACTACTAATATTTTGAAGTAGTTCAGGCAAAGAAAGAGGGGGAAAGAGTGGTGGATTTGAGAACAAGAAAATCATAGCATACAATGTTTCATGCAAAATTCATTTTAAGGTGAAACAGATAACTAACAGTGCTGAAGAATACCCAACAATAAATATTTGTGAAGGTATTTTTAAACCTTGTATTCTGTGTATGGTAATCAAATAACCTGTTAAATGTGTTAATATGCGCTTGTCTTTGGCCCAAGAAGTAATTAAATTGAAAGAGCAAAACAGCTGCACTGGGCAAAAATTATAAATTGGTGACTTGTAGTCTGGCATTGATAGCCCAATACTAAACATGCAGCCAGGTCTCATTAATGGTTGTATGGCATACTTATAGTTGTAAATATTGCTTAGAGTTCAGCTGATATCCTTCATGAGTCCCCAGGGTTGTGTGTGTATGTGTGTGTTTTAAAAAACATTGCAAAGGAAAGAGAAAATGTTGAGGTATATTGTTTGTTATCCTAGTATGGAAACAGCAGGCCAGTGTACCAAATTTACATGAATCTAATGTGTACCTCAGTTTTCAAATCCTTGAAACCAAAAAAGTATTTGTTAGTGCCATCAAATCTGATGCCCACCCTAAATTTTGTGACGTAATTTGGCCAAAAAAGTGCGCTTTTCATTCAAGTAAATACTGTATTTTTATATTACTGGCTGCTAGATGGTAATAGCATTTTAAGAATTAGATTTGAAGCACATAAGAATGTAGAATGTTAGTGTAGTGGTAAAGAGTGTGATCTAACCATCTCAGCATAAGACTAGGGCTTCCATTAAGCTGCTGTCTCTCATCTTCAACACCTACCTGCAGTATGAGGATAATACTCATCTAATTTAAGGTTGTAATGATAAATTATAGAGGAAGCTTTTTATAGCCCATTAAGACTATTTGCCTAACTAACCCATAAGATGACCCGGTGGGCATCATTGGTTTGGTGGGATTTGAACCTAGGTCTCTCCAATCCAAGTCTTGCCCTTTATCCACTATGCTGAACTGGCTTTCCTAATACATTGGAACTGTTTGGAATGCTCAGGGAGAGCTCTGTGAATGCTTTGTTACTATTAAGCAGTAAGAGCTGTTCAACAGTGCAGCAGGCTGCCTTGAGGATGATGGCTGTCCTTCAGTGGATAGGCATTTACCATGGATGCTAGAGTCTCATCCTGCATTGCAGACCCTGCACTGAGCAGGGGTTTGGATTGGATGTCCTCCAAGGTCCCTTCCAACTCTGATTTTACGTTGCAAAATGACAGTTTTCTATTCAAAGTGTGGTGTTTTTATCATTTAGAAGAAAAACCTTAGCTACACACAGTTATCTCTATATTCCTTTTAATTTCTGTAAATTTGCAGAACCAATCCCCAAATGCTTCAGTGGTTAATACTACTATAAGTCTCTGTCTGAAGCAGCCACTGGCAATTGGAGAGTACTGAGCTTACAGTATTCTTTGATCATTTTCAGTCTCAGTTTCTGTGATTCTAGTTTTAGGTTAGTCACTACTGTTGTCATTATATTAATGCACCTAATTTTATGTCACAACAGACCATGTGCTGAAAAAGCAGTTGTATATCTGCTAAAATATTGGCATCAGCATTCTTACCTATTTGGAGTGGTACCTTGCTTTGTTTTAAGTGTTTCCCGAGAGAAACAGGAGACCGCCTAAGGCGCCATTACAGTTGGCTTGCACTGTAAAACTGAACAAAACTCTTTTTCTAAAGAGAACCTAGAAACCCAAGCTGTTTTGCTCTAAATATTTGTCCATGTAAATAACTCTGTGGTTATTTTTCTGTTACTGAGCTGGCCAATTGTTTCTGTTAAGTAATTGGGCACTAATCCACACAAACGTGTATGCCTATTTCTGTTTGATCTGCCCTAATACATGCTTTCCTTACATACTGAATATTTGTTTATAATTTTTGTTCTGAAGCCTCTTTAACAGGCTGTACCAGGTTAACTCCTTCAGGCTAACTGTAGCTTAACTTAATAATGTTTTCAATTAGTTAAATCAGCATTGAGTTGTGGGAGCAGATGAGTTTCTGTAATATATGTTCTGATGGACAATTTTAAATGCTATAGTGAAGATGCCAGCAAGAAGCATCTGGCTAAGTAGTTGTGTTGTAGTTACGTATTTGTATTGGTACCTCTTTCATCATTGCAAATGCAGACTGTATAATGTACTGAAACACTGTAGCCACTTAGCCCAATATTTCATGGAAATTAGTTTTCCCTTTATTTTTGTGGGTCATATTTATTTTTCTTATTCTCTTTAGTTGTTAGGAGAAAAAGATGTTGATGGGATGTATGCTTTGTTGAATTTCACATGAGTAACATTCCATTTATTGGAAGATCACTTATGTGGAGTTCTTTTTGGCCATAATTCTCTGCCATAAAAATGGCACCCAATGTGGTGCACAAGTTAAATTAAAAAAACAACCATGAAAAAATATTGGAATAAAAATATTTTTAAAAACATTTTTAAAAATGGAATATCAAAATAACTCTTACACTTCACAGCACACTATACATCAGGCGTCCTCAAACTTGGCCCTCCAGATGTTTTGAGACTACAATTCCCATCATCCCATGACCACTTGTCCTGCTAGCTAGGGATCATGGGAGTTGTAGGCCCAAAACATCTGGAGGGCTGAGTTTGAGGAAGCCTGCTATATATGCTTACCACCCGTTTTACCCTGGTCTTGCACAATGCATTTGCTTGATTGCTTTCTGTACTACCACTATGAGCAATATGCATTCCACACAGAACAAGATGAACTTTAATTGGCTTTGAACCTCGTTTTTACAATAGTGCATTTCATAATAGTACCCAAATGCTTTTATGATTAACAGTAGCCAGTCTTGCACATTTCTCCGTTGGGTTTGCTTCTTAGATCATTATTGGTCCCTTAGTATCTCAAACTAAAAATCTTGTGCACTTGGTTCCTGCATCTAGTCCATTTTGCTAGCATCCTTTCTAAAGAACAATCTCTTCAAACTGCGGCTTTTCTTCCTCACAAGCATTATTGCTTTGTTGGAATGACAAATTTTCAGCTATAGCTCTTTGAGATTAGGGTGGTATTTATTTATTTATTTATTTATCTATCTATCTATCTATCTATCTATCTATCTATCTATCTATCTATCTATCTTGTTGAGAGGTGATAACTGCCCTAAGACATTAAAATCAGTGCATCTAAATATTTTTCAGGAGCATGTAGATTAACTGAAGCTTCGAACCCAAAGAGCTGCTTAGACTCACCCAAGGGGTTCATTCTAGCCAGATTAAATCTTTTGATTTCTCTTTGAATACTGATCACCAGAATGGCCTTTGAAACGTCTCTGTTTCAAAGCTGCTTTACCATCTATAGGGGACTATTCTTTGAGAAGGATGAGTCTAAAGCTGCCTTCAGGTCATATAACTTAATTTATGGTTCTTTGGGTCCTGACATATATTTCTGGAGATCCAGTCTGCAGTGACAGTTTCAAGGTGTTCCTTGATACATACATCCCAAAATGTGCTTGCTTTCTTTCTTTCTTTCTTTCTTTCTTTCTTTCTTTCTTTCTTTCTTTCTTTCTTTCTTTCTTTGGAAATACACTGTTTGGTATCCCTTCTTACATATCTGATTCTATGTCATGTCTTTTAAACATAGGTGTGTAGCTTGTCTAAGAAGTTGGGTTGCTTTTTTGCTGTATTTGCCATATTTTATTGAACAGAGCTGGACACAGTGGGGCTGTTTTTGAGCCTATTTGTATTTAGCTTCAATGAGTAGTTGTGCTGGCAGAATGACCTCTGTGAACCCAAAGAGAATGGTGGGTGCTCGAAACAAATTCCCACATGAAGGGCAATCTGTTGTTGTGATTTTAATTGAAGGTTTTTTCACCCATTGTTGCGGGTGGAGAGTAGAGAGAACTGTTACTTGGAAACGGGTAGGAATTCTATACAAGTAGCTGCCTTTGTGTGCTTTTAGTACATGTTTATGGGAACATAGTGTGAAGGTCAATTGCTGCCTTTCTGAACTATAGAGAAAAGCAAGCCTACTGTTAGGCTAATATGTATGGGGAATCCAGCTTAATGGATGGTACAGTTTACGTTGCAATGTACCCTTGTAGCTCTTTTTCAAGCAACCCTCTGAAGTACATATCTATTTCTCTTCATTACCCAGGTATTGGAGAGAAGTATTCAACGTGGGAGCCAACCAAACGAGAGCTAGAGCTGCTTCGACACAACCCCAAGCGGAGAAAAATAACTACAAACTGCACCATAGGTAAGCAAGAGTCTTCTGTTCCCATGCCATTCTACGGTACTGTGGTCAGTATCCATGTTTCAGGATAACATTTTTCCTTTTCAAGGTTTAAACGCGTATCTGTTTTCTATTGTTTTCTGATCTGCCCCATTAGTTTGACTGCACTTTGACTTCAATCCTCTCCCATCACTTAAAATACTTAAGACAATGAATCTTCATTGGAAGTCTTCAAAGCAGAAGACTTGAGTTCTATTTACACTAATCCTAAGGAGCAAATGTGTGAAAATGTAATGACCCAATAGGAGAAAATCTAAAAAGCTTCTGGAGTTTTGCTTATTCTGTTTCAACTCCTGCAGTTTCCATTACAAGTGAGTTGTGCAGGTACAAATCACACAGCCAAATCAGAGTGTTTGCTTAACTTTACGACTGTAGACCATTAGCAAAGTGTAACATGTGGCTCTTTTTTTTCTGCTTCAGCTTGTGACAGACTTCAAAAGGAATTCTTCAGATTTCTGCATTTCTTCACTGATTATATAATTTGGTTATTTCATATTTCTATCCTTTAATCATTTGTATGTTCACTTTAGACCTAAAGAAGGGCTAATTTGAAAGGCAGGTATGACTAGAAGTTTCCAGGAAAAGAGGATTTGCATAAAACAATTTTACTTCTGGACCCTTTTTAAATAATGGATGATCTGCCTGTCAGTCATTTGTGCCCTGTGTAGAATTGACTATAACTGTCTAAAGGTTTTGTGTGGTTGGGGAAGGGATTGCAATTACATGCCCCACCTAATAAGGCACACCTGACATTTTTTCAGGAGCCCAATCGATACAAAAATATCCCCAGTTTTCAGAGGGTAACATAACTCATGGATTTGGGACTAATTGAGTTCAGAATGGAAACAGCTGGACGATCTAAGAGCAGGATAGGTGAGCAAAACCCAGCTTCTTCAGTGCATGTATCAGGGGTCAGCAAACTTTTTCTGCAGGGGGCCAGTTCACTGTCCCGCAGAACTTGTGGCGGGCCAGTGTGTGTCCGCACGTGCACATGCCTTCCTTCCCTCTGAGACAGAGCGGCTGAGATACCTCCACTCACCTTGTTCAGACTGCTAATGTGCCACTGCCGAGCAGCACAGAGGAGTCCTCCTCCTCCCTCCTCGCAGGCTCTCTTCGTCCGCTTCTTCCCGCCCCTTCACTTCTCCTCCCTTCTCGGAGCTAGCTGTCAACAAGGTGCCGTGCCCTGCTCCTCGCCCCAATTGGAGCAGCAAGCCTTGGGAAGGGTCGCCATTCGCCACTGGCTTGTGTCAAACCGGCCAATGGAGGGGAGGCCTGAGGTTGCTAAGGCTTCAGATTGGCCAGCGTCGTGGAAGTCTGAGAAACCTCAGAGCATGTTAGAATTTGTAGTCCTGGGAAAGCACCTCTCCGCACAACTAAACTGGAGCTAAACCTGACCGAGCGGGCGGCAAGCTCCGCGGGCTGGATTTACTACCCTGGCGGGCCTTATCCAGGCCCCGGGCCTTAGTTTGCCGACCCATGATGTAGATTCTACGTAACGCTGTATAGAGCATGTCTGGAGAATCTTTGGCTCTCCAGATATTACTGAGCTACAGTTTCCATCAGTCCCTACAAGCATGGTCAGTGGTCTGGAATGACTGCGGTTGTATGATAATATTTAACTGTCCTTGCTATCAGTGTTGCAGGAGCTAATGGACAATAACTTTCCTGTGCCTCCTCTAAGCTATGAGTTGGCAGAGTGTTGGAGCAAAGATCCAGTAGCAATAGGAACAGGCACCCCAAGCTTTGTTATGGCAGTCTGGCTAGAACTCCACATGCACTGCAAAGTTACATGATGGTAAAGTGCAGGGTTGACTGGAGCTTCTGCCAAAAATGCAAACGTGATTTGTGTGTGTGTGTGTGTGTGTGTCACTCAGTATACACAATTTTGAAAAAATGCCCATTCATTTTTCATGAGTATTGTGGGTGATGCAGCTGTGTTCAATTATTGGTCCTTATTTTGTTTTCAATCACTTATCCTTTAATTTCTCTTTACAACCTCTCTTTACAACTTCTTTAAAAGTTAGCCCAGTCATTCTCAAATTGTGGGATAGACTCAGGTTTCTTGAGATTGGATGTGTTCCTAGAATCATAGAATCATAGAGTTGGAATAGACCACAAGGGCCATCGAGTCCAACCCCCTGCCAAACAGGAAACACCATCAGAGCACTCCTGACATATGGTTGTCAAGCCTCTGCTTAAAGACCTCCAAAGAAGGAGACTCCACCACACTCCTTGGCAGCAAATTCCACTGTCGAACAGCTCTTACTGTCAGGAAGTTCCTATGGTAAAGTCCCAAGGACGGATAGGTCTTAAAGCAAGTAGTACCTTTATCACCAGCCAAGACCTGTCTAGATTGAGCACCTCTGGCAATGGACCTGCACCTGCAGCACTAATCTCGTTTGGATTTGTGGGGCTGAGTGCACACTTGCTTGCCCCATCATCCTAGTGTTTTTTGGGAAGGAGGAGTTCCAAAAGAGCTGCTACTTCCTATATATTTCTCTGTGTGTGGCTTTAAGAGGGGAACACAGATACCCTCCTTTATTTTCCTTCTGATTCCAGTGTGGCATTACTACTCTGAGCTACAGATTGCAGCAGCAAGCTGTTCTGTGCACAACTTGCACAAAAGATATCTATGCATTTACCTGTGAAAAGTCTGTCTAACAAGCTACAGTCTTTGAGAGCTGTATAGCCCCATCAAAGCAGCTCACATTGCAAGCTGCCTTGCACCGAGGGAATTTAACCCTCTACCGTCAGGTGGGATTAAATGCATCTTCAGCTACTTCTTCTATCTTTGCTCTTCTGTTTCTCACTTTAGTCATATTCTTCTTTCTCTTCTAACTTCCTTTAGCCTTTCTCCTCTTACAATACCTTTTTTTAAAAACAGTATATCACCTTTGTTTATTTTTCATCACTTCAACTTTTGCTGACACCTACACATCTGCTTCATTCTGGTGGTTCATTGACGAAGATAGACTCTAAGGTTTATTCATCTATTTCCCAAGAAATAAGGGGCAAAGATAAGCATTTTCAGATATTCATGTAACTTTCTTTGTTGTTAATCTCCTTTTCTTCAGACCTACCCAACAGGGTGAATAAAATTTAATGATTTTTAAAAATAGTTTTTTATATCTAAAATTGGATTTTTACCCAAAGCTTTTTTCAAATACAAAGCTTCTCAAATACTAATTCGGTTAATATTAAATCTTGATTTAAACTTGTTGGCCTTACAGTTAATTTCTAAACTGAATCAATGCCTCTTCCAGATAGTTTCTCAAATATGAATATTTACAAACCATAGGTTTGATCTGATGAAAATTAGCTACTCTACTTTGCCCCTATCTTACTTTTACCTATCAGTCAAGTATATATTTCATTCTTGTTTTGCTGTTTTGGTTTTTGAGGGTGGGGGTGGACCAAGGCAGAGTGGAAAAGAAAGGAACAACACTAGAAAGAAGAAAAGATGAAATTTCCCAGTGTACAGGTTCCTGTATTCCTATAAGATTGTGAGAAACAGTGTAAATTAACATGATTTAGTGGTCAGATTTGCACCATTGTACAAATATATGAAAAAACAGGAAGCATCGGTGGAAATGTGATTTAAATCAAACATCTTGTCATTTTAAATCAATCCTCCCTGCTAACCCGGTATCTCTTTTGGCTCCTTTCTGGTGTTACATTTCCTGTTCTTATTTGTCTGTATAATTGTGGGCAGGGCTTGCCTCTCTTTGTATAGTCCTTAGTTGCTGGCTCTTTATAAATAATACTGCACACTTTCAACCTACCTATATGGAAACAAGTTTCCCCTCGGCTTCATAATTACTTTTGCCATACTGTGTTAATGTTTTGAAATGTCTGTTTCTAGAAGCCTATTGCATAAATAATGAAAAAGTTTCACATGTGTAACTTTGGGGTTGTGTGGCTACAATGTATTTCATTTCATTTCACTTTTAATTTGTATACCACTTTTCTATATTGCTATACACAAGGAGGTTTACAACAACAAAATATACAGCAAAGGTCACATAATAATCCGATCCAATAAAAAAACACCATAATAAAACATAGCTTTAAAATAAACAACTTATATAAATAAAGTAATATTCAACAATCCATTAGAATATAATAGTACACAATAAAATTGACTCTCAAAATATCAGCAAATAATAATTAAATAGAAATTTAGAAAGTACAATAAATACCGTATTTTTCGCACTATAGGACGCACTTTTTCCCCTCCAAAAATGAAGGGGAAATGTGTGTGCGTCCTATGGTGCGAATGCAGGCTTTTGCTGAAGCCTGGAGAGCGAGAGGGGTCCGTGCGCACCGACCCCTCTCGCTCTCCAGGCTTCAGGAAGCTATCCCAAGTCTTGCAAGCCCGGCGGGATGTCCCGCGGGCTCGCAAGGCTTGCGGGCAGCAGCCTGCACCCAAAAGCTGGGGACAGCGGGGAGGCGCAGAGCCGCCACCCCGCTATTCCCCGACCTGATCTGGAGGCTGGCGGGGGGAGAAGCAAGCCTGCTTCTCCCCCCCCAGCCCCACAAGCTCGGGGGATAGGGGGGTGGCGAAGCGCCGCCATCCCGCTATTCCCCGACCTGAACTGGAGGCTGGGGGTGGGAGAAGCAAGCCTGCTTCTCCCCCCCCCCAGCCCCACAACCTCCAGATCAGGTCGGGAAATAGCGGGATGGCGGCGCTCCGCCATCCCGCTATTCCCCGACCTGAACTGGAGGCTGGGGGTGGGAGAAGCAAGCCTGCTTCTCCCCCCCCCAGCCCCACAACCTCCAGATCAGGTCGTGGAATAGCGGGATGGCGGTGCTCCGCCATCCCGCTATTCCCCGACCTGAACTGGAGCCTGGGGGCGGGAGAAGCAAGCCTGCTTCTCCCCCCCCCAGCCCCACAACCTCCAGATCAGGTCGTGGAATAGCGGGATGGCGGTGCTCCGCCATCCCGCTATTCCCCGACCTGATCT